ATGGATTTCGTCCCTACTTTTTTCTCCTTTACTTTGCTATTTTTATTGAGTTTTCCAAAGCTCGTTTGAGGTGCCGGGCTCGTGGTCGGACATTTATTATCTACGGGGCCGAATTCGTGGTCGAGCTCGACGCTGATTCATTACTTGGCCGAGCCTCGTGATCGGGCTCGGCCTTATTAATTACGGGGCCGAGCTCGCGGTCGAGCCCGGCGCTGGTTCATTACTTGGCCGAGCTTAGTGATCGGGCTCGGCTTTATTAATTATGGGGCCGAGCTCGCGGTCGAGCCCGGCGCTGGTTCATTACTTGGCCGAGCCTCGTGATCGGGATCGGCCTTATTAATTACGGGGCCGAGCTCGCGGTCGAGCCTGGCACTGGTTCATTACTTGGCCGAGCCTCGTGATCGGGCTCGGCCTTATTAATTACGGGGCCGAGCTCACGGTCGAGCTCGGCGCTGATTCATTACTCTGCCGCATTACATGTCCGAACTGTTTCGCTAAGTCGGTTTGCGGTTTTGGCCAGTCGAGCTACGCGCTTGAGCTCGTTTTTCATTCCTTACAGTTGGCAGCTTTGGCCTCACCGGGCTACTTTGCCGAGCCCGGCTTGTGCCGGCCAGGCCATCATACTGACCCAACCGACACATAATTATATGGCAGCTTACCAGACCGGTCTCGCGTTCGGACTCGGTGGTATTGTAGGCCTGACCGGGCTTCCTAGTTGAGCCCGGCTAGTGCCGACCGAGCCATCTACTGATCTCGGCCAACACTTTGTTCCTTACGTTTAATTACGCCGCTTCGACTCGATCTATGTTGAAACTTCCTGCCTTATCGGGACTAATAACAAAAAATTACATCTTCTTCACGAAAAGTAATAAGGTAACTACAATAGATCGCTCTAGACCTATTGGTAGAACTTCTTCAGGAATGCCGAGTTCCATGGGTATTGGTGAGGGGTGTCGTCGAGGTGTTCGAGGTGGTAGGCCCCATGCGCAGGACTTCGTTGATCTTGTACGGCCCTTCCCACTTCGGCTTGAGGGGCCCAGGGTCAGGCCCCGTCACCCTTTTAAGTACCAAGTCGCCGACCCGATATGAGCGTGGTTTGACTCGGGAGTTGATATATCTCTCGCTTCGCCTTTTGTATGCCGTGTTCTTAAGTTCGGCACCCGTTCGATGTTCGTCAATTAAGTCCAGGTTGGTTCTTAGCGATTCGGAGTTGGACTTTTCCTCGAAGTTAACTACCCGGAATGTCGGGGCACCGAGCTCGACTGGTATCATCGCCTCGGACCCGTACGCTAAGGAAAATGGTGTTTCGCCGGTTGACGACCTGGCAGTGGTGTGATAGGCCCAAAGTACACCCGGGAGTTCTTCGGGCCAACCTCCTTTTGCAGCTTCAAGTCGAACCTTGAGGCCCTGCTTGATGATCTTATTCACGGCCTCGACTTGACCGTTCGATTGCGGATGGTAAGGAGTCGAGAAGAAGTGCTTGATGTTATGCTCCTCACAAAATGTTTCTAACTTTTTCCCTTCAAATTGTTTGCCGTTGTCGGTGATTATCGAATTTGGGACCCCGAATCTGCATATGATGGACTTCCACAGGAAATCTGTCATCTTCTGCTCAGTTATAGTGGCGAGCGGCTCGATCTCTGCCCATTTTGTGAAGTAGTCCACGGCGTACTTTACTCCGCCCTTTCCGGTGGGTAGGGGGCCAATCAGGTCGACGCCCCATTTAGCGAATGGCCATGGGCTGAAAATCGACTTTAGAGGCTGAGACGGTTGAACGATGTTAGGTGCGAAGGTCTGGCATTTTGTGCATCTCCGGGCCAGATCCAAGGCGTCCTTTTTCAGACTCAGCCAGTAATAGCCCTGCCTGAGGACCTTATGAGGACCTTTGTGGATTTCCTTGAGTATGAGCTCGGCACTCTTTTCGCCTACGCACTTGAGTAGGGGCGCCGAGTAACCCCGTTTGAATAGTTCACGGGCCACGACTGTAAATCGAGCTGCCCGGGTGCGAAGCTGTCTGGCCTCTTTTGGGTCAGATGGCAACGCGCCGGTCTCAAGATACAACCGGATCGGGACCATCCAGTCCGGGTCTTGGTCTTCTCCACCCTGCCCGGCACTTAACACATAGGTGCCGAGCACAGAAGGCTGTTCCTTGTGTCCCACTTGAACGTACTCGACGCTTTCCACCCCGACACTTGAGGCGAGGCAGGCCAGGGCGTCGGCCTGCACGTTCTCTGTTCGGGGGATGTGCTCAATTCGAGTTTGGAGCTTGGCCAACTTCTTCCTCACCAGCCCCAGGTAGGGAGCCAGTCTCGGCTCTTTAACTTCGAATCCTCCCGAGATTTGCTTGACCATCAACATGGAGTCGGAATATATGATGAGGTCGGTTAAGCTCATGGCTTCTGCCAGGTCGAGCCCAGACAGCAATGACTCGTATTCAACTTCGTTGTTGGTAGCCGAGAAAAGGTACTGGATCGAATGACAGAAGAGTTTCTTCTGGGGATCTACGAGGACGACTCCTCCGCCTGCTCGTCCGGCAGTGGAGGACCCGTCCACGTACATCACCCATGGCTCCTCAGTTTTTGCTTCTTCAACTCCCGACGTGAATTCCGCTATGAAGTCCGAGAGTACCTGCCCCTTCATTGCTGTTCGGGGTCGGTAGTGGATGTCATACTGCCCCAGCTCTACCGCCCACTTCACCATCCGACCGGAGGTGTCCGGTCGGTGTAGGATCTGTCTAATGGGGTAGAAGGTGAGGACAGCGATTGAATACTCCAGGAAATACGGCCTCAGCTTCCGGGCAGCAGTCACCAGTGCGAAAGAGAGCTTCTCCATAGGTGCGTAACGCAGCTCGGCATCGTGGAGTGCCTTGCTCACATAGTAGACCGGGTGTTAACAAGAGTTTTCCTCTCGGATCAGGGCGGCACTTACGGCCACTTCGGATATTCCCAGGTAAAGGTAGAGCGTTTCTCCTGGGCGGGGCTTTTGCATTGTCGGAGCCCGGCTGAGGGTCTCCTTAATGGCTTCTAGTGCCTTTTGGCAGTCGGGCGTCCACTCAAACTTGTGATTTTTCTTGATTGCATCGAAGTAGGGTTTGCACCGGTCCGTTGACTTGGAAATGAACCGGCTTAGAGCGGCGAGTTTACCGGTTAAACTCTGGACTCCCTTGATCGAAGTCGATGGTCGGAGGTCTTGCACTGCCTGGATCTTTTCAGGATTTGCGTCGATGTCGCGTTGGCTAACAATGTACCCCAAGAACTTCCCCGACCTGACACCAAACGTACACTTTTTGGGATTTAATTTCATCGAATAATCACGCAAAATAGAAAACATTTTATTGAGATCGTTACCATGATCAGACACGTACACGGATTTGACTAACATATCGTCTACATACACTTCCATGCTCATACCTATTAAACTAGCGAACATCTTGTTAACAAGACGTTGGTAGGTTGCCCCGGCGTTCTTCAGTCCAAACGGCATCATTGTGTAACAGTAGAGCCCGCGTGCCGAGTAGAAGGAGGTGTGCTCCTCGTGGGTGCATAGGTATTTGATTATATCCCGAGTACGCGTCCATGAAGCT